TACGGTTTTAGAGGAGTAGCGATAACAAGGGTTTTTAGCACAAGGGGCAACAACTTTTAAAAGGCTCAATCTTAGGGGCCAAGATTTATATCTTCTAAAGAGTTTCAAAAGTACATATTAAAGACATAAGATAGATCGCATATGTTTAAGGACATAAGAGCTATTAAGAGAAATTTATTTCTCATAATTGGAATGACCTTGACCTTTGACCTTGAAATGAATTTGAAGGGAAAAGGTCATTGAATGTTATGCAGTTGGTTTCATGTCTCTAAGACTTTTCGTTTTGAAAATTTTTAATTTTTAGTAAAATTTATAAACTTTCAGGGGCAGTTACTCATTGAAGGGGTCAAAGAAAACTTTCGCAATGAATAGATTGAAAAGTCTCCTTAATTAGTTGAAGACAATGGTGAAGGTTTTATATCTCTACGGTTTACGGTTTCGGAGGAGTAGCGATAACAAGCTTTTCGGTGAAAGGGGCAATAACTGCATAAGGGATCTAAGTTAAAACATGGGGGGTCATTTTTCGGAATAACTTTGAATATCCAGTATCATGAACTATAAAGTTTTTCGATAAGTCTTACGGTGTCAAAACATAAGGTAAGAAATAAAATAAAAAAAACAGAAGAATATCAATAGGTCTTTCCACAGAAAGGTGGAAAGACCTAATAAAAAAAAAACAGAAGAAAATCAATAGGTCTTTCCACAGAAAGGTGGAAAGACCTAACTAGGAGACTTATTGTTCACAGAACAATAAGAGGTCTTTCCACCTTCTTTGAATTTCAATTTCATTTAATATTTATCTCTTTAAAATAATATTTCATCAAAAAGAAACCAGGAATGGCTTAAAAGAAGAAAAAAAAAATGAAAAATTTAAAAATTTGAAGGTGACCTTGACCTTTGACCTTCAAGTTATATTCAAGGTCAAATGTCAAGGGTCACAATGTAATAAATCTCATGCCTCTATGACTTATAGTTTTAAAGTTATAAGGTATAATGGTAAGCACAAAAGCATTTAAGGGCAGTAACCCATTCAAGGAGTCACCAGATCCTTTCGCACTTTAACATAAAAGTTGTGCCTAAAGTTCCTTCAGACATTAGTGAAGGTTTTATGTCTCTGCTGTTTACAGTTTCAGAGCAATAGCAATAACAAGGTTTTTCGCACAAAGGGCTATAACTTTTAATAGGGTAAATCTTAAGGGACAAGAATGAAATCTTTGAAATAATTTTAAGAGTACATACTAATGATGCAAAGACAGATTGTATATGTTAAAAGACCAAAAAAGATATAAAAAATGCTAAATTTTTCATTTTTGGAATGACCTTGACCTTTGACCTTTGCATAAATTTTAAGATCAAAGGTCAATGAATCTTATGCAGTTGGTCTCATGTCTCTGCAACTTTTCATTTTGAAAATTTTTAAGTATTTGTGAAATTCAAAAAGTTTCAGGGGCAATAACTCATTGAAGGGGTCTCTGAATACTTTCGCAATGAATAGATTGAAAAGTCTTCTTAATTAGTCAAAGACATTGGTGAAGGTTTTATATCTCTACGGTTTACGGTTTCAAAGGAGTAGCGATAACAAGGTTTTTCGTGCAAGTGGCAAGAACTCCGAACAGGGTCATAGTTCATGGTAAAGGCATCAAATCTTTCCATACGTTTTAATGACCTTTACGATGAACAAAAAATCTTTTCGATAAACCTCGAAACAAAAAATCAGCGGAAGAAAAGTAAGAATAATAGGGAAGAAGAATAATAATAAACAGAAGAATATCAATAGGTCTTTCCACAGAAAGGTGGAAAGACCTAATAATCTTTACCAACAGAATCAGTAGAAGGTCTTCCGTTGGAAACGGAAGACCCTAATTCATCCTTATATTTGTTTTTATATTTGGGATTCTTCAGGAGAGCTTGTAATGTGGTTTTGGTATTGAAATCATTGTCAGCAACTGCATGTATTAATTCAGGTCTTCCGCTCAGGCGGAAGACCTTCTACCGATTCTGATGGTTAAGATTATTCCTATTATTCTTTTTTTTTTCCTAGACGCCAACTTTGAGACCTCGTAACTCGCTCATTTCTTAACGGATTTCGCTCAAATTTTCAGAGTTTTTGAACGTTAAAAAATTCAATTGAAATGTTTTCATACATTTCAAAAATTCCCTTCCGCTTTTGAGTTATTTCCCTTTAAATGAAAATTTGGTGCTGTTTGTTTCCAGACAAAGGCTCAGAAACGACAAATGCTGGAGCAGAATGTCTACTGCATTTAAATACTAGAAGAATTGAAGTTGTGCACATCGGTTTTTCTTTTTCGATTTCTGCGCTCAAAACGGTGCTAGATAGGGGTCAAAAATAAGAATGCCTAAAAGCGCAAAAATTTACATCTATTTCCTTATGTATCTTTTAAACTAAAAATAATTTGTTAAGACATGTTACACAAATATTGTGCATAATTTTAAGATCTATCATTTGACATCATTAAAAAAGGACTGGCCCCTCAAATTAGGGGCCAAGGGCGCTCGAAAGTTTTTGCTTTATAACTTAAAAACGGTAAATATTTCGATATGATTATCGATTTGAAATGGGTTCTTTGGCATCTTATTGATCTCAGGAAAACGTTATTTTGTTCTAGTCATGTTTTATTAGATGAGCAGAAAACTTTATAGTCCGTGTACAGGTAAGTGATTTTATATGGCAAGTGAAGAAGAATTCTATATGCGTACGCGTATAACACGTATAACTGAAATTAACTGGATAAGAATAATATACCTAGCTAAATTGAATGTTAAACTTTGTTGAAATAAGATTTTTAACGTATTCTCTAGCTGGATGTCATACAGATTATTCAGAGACAACTTTCTCCCTGTGTTTAGTGTAAAGAACAAGACGGGAGAGAGGAAAAATATTTTTAAGTATTAATATTCAATGTAGCATTATTTATCTTTAAAAAAAATTCAAGCTTAAGATAATTCACTGTCATTTAATTCATGCATCGTGAATTTTCCTCGGACCCTGAAAGTTTCGTGTGTACAGTGTGCGTGTTTTGTGTGTACAGTTATCACATGGTTATGAAACCCGTTTATCGATCGCGCATTGAACTGTATACATTCGTGAGGTCAACATTACCGCTCTTTGATTTTTACTAGAGTCCTAGATTTAAGATCAAGAAAACATGTCATTTGCGCTAATCGTAAGGATATTTCTATACACAAATTTTAGGTTTTCTTGAACATGATTTAAAAGTGTTGAGTGTCGGATTCTATTCTTTGACGAATGAATAAAAGGTGCTGCGTTTACGCGCGCTTTTCTCATCTGTTGAGGTATCTATGGACGAGTTCATCGGTTACACTGAAGGGGACACAGGATGACCTATCGATAACTCTGCCAATTTTGATAGTGATTTTAATTGCACATGTACCATAAACATGATAAATTAATGTTCAATTCTACCCTTGTGAAGTCCATTATAGTCTCATTATTTAAAAAAAATTGGGGATATCAATACTGCAACTTGTTTTTGATTTGTGCGGATGATTCTATTATTGGAAAGGTACACACGTAGTGCGACGATTTTTTAGGCCCCGTCTCCCCCTCCACTTTGAAGTAATTGCAATCGTTACATGTATACGGGCCTATATAAAGTTATTCTAATTGCTTTATATCAGAAAAAATTGCGATGTTGTTTAAATTAGCAAATACCTATAACATTGCACAGTAAATTGTAAATGGAAGTGACGTTTCCAATTCTCATGAATTCTCGTAAATGAAGCAACTTTGAGATTTGCATGAATTGATACATAACTTATAATTGCATTGTACCGAATGTATTCCTTTATTTCCTCGAATAAAAAGAATATCACTATGACACGATTTTAAGGGTACATGATGGTAACTAAATACATGCTGTTTTACACGGAAGAGCCCCCAAAATATATACATTCCGAGCTTTCAGAATGCGAGAGAAAAAAATGAATAATTAGACATTTTTTTTAACAAATTCAAAATTGTTTCTGAGAAAGCCATGTAGTTGCATACAAATATTCCAAGCCATTCTTTCGTGTTTATTGGACTAAAAGAGATAATTAAATTTCCTCTCATCGAGATACGTAATCCCCCTTCCCTCAAATGATACGTTTTCCTTCAGAGTCGAGAATGTCAGTTGTTTAGTTTGTTCAGGTACGTACAGGTCAGGACTGGTGTTGAAATCCATGATTAATCCATAACCTATTATAATGTTAACCAACAATCATACGCGACTTTTTTTTTATTCACAGGTCGTCAAATAAATGAAAAAAAGATAAGTATGCGTCACTAAACTTTCCTATATATAAACGTTTTAATTTCTAAAATTTGTGCCGATTAAAGTGTTCATTCGAGCATCGAAGTGTATACATGTATTAGTTTCTTTGGGTAAAGGGGGGGGGGGTACAGTTTTTACTGCGTTTGATTTCCGGAATTTTGCAATGCTTTTCCGACACTTAATAATTTCATTTCTAACATTCATTTTTTTCATTCTGGATTTTTACACTATATTTCAAGCAATTTAAAGTTAAATTAACACAAGTGAACTTGTGATGAAAATTTATAAAACGAAAGTCAAGCAATAAAAAGTTAAAGTTTGTTTTTTGAAAAATAAATCAAATCAAGTCACAGAAAACAAAGACAGGTTGTAAAGCTCACACACCGACACACACACAAACGTTTTGGTAACTCGGAATAGTCCAGAGTAAAACTATATTTTCTTGATGACGGAATGTCCTGTACATCTAATGTTCACGTCCGGGATAGTCCACGGCGGATCTAAAAACTCTCTCACACAACATACGGGATTCACTCAAATTTCAATTAACACATTTACGCAATTTATATCTCTCTCTCTCTCTCTCTCTCTCTCTCTCTCTCTCTCTCTCTCTCTCTCTCTCTCTCTCTCTCTCTCTCTCGTCTTCTTCTTCTCTCTCTCTCGCTCCCTGCCGTCTCTCTCTCTCTCTCCTTCTCTCTCTCTCTCTCTCTCTCTCTCTCTCTCTCTCTCTCTCTCTCTCTCTCTCTCTCTCTCTCTCTCTCTCTCTCTCTCTCTCTCTCTCTCTCTCTCTCCCCCCCCCCCCCCCTCTCTCTCCCTCCTCCTCCTCCTCCCCCCCCCCCCCCCCCCCTCCTCCCTCCCTCCCTCCCTCCTCTCTCTCTCTCCTCCCTCCCTCCCTCCCTCCCTCCCTCCTCCTCCCCCCCCCCGCCTCCTCCCTCCTCTCTCTCTCTCTCTCTCCCTCTCTCTCTCCCTCCTCCCTCCTCCCTCTCTCTCTCTCTCTCCGCCTCCTCCTCCTCCTCCCTCCTCCCTCTCTCTCCCTCCTCCCTCCCTCCCTCCTCCCTCCTCCTCTCTCCCTCCTCCCTCCCCCGCCCCCCTCCCTCCCTCTCCTCCCTCCCTCCTCCTCCCCCGCCCTCCTCCTCCCTCTCTCCCTCCCTCCTCCTCCCTCCTCCCTCCCTCCTCCCTCCCTCCCTCCCTCCCTCCCTCCATCCCTCTCTCTCTCTCTCTCTCCCTCTCTCTCTCTCTCCTCTCTCTCCTCCTCCTCTCTCTCTCCCTCCTCTCTTTGCCCCTCTCTCTCTCTCTCTCTCTCCTCCCCCCCCCCCCCCCCCCCCTCTCTCTCTCTCTCTCTCTCTCTCTCTCTCTCTCTCTCTCTCTCTCTCTCTCTCTCTCTCTCTCTCTCTCCCTCCCTCACCCCTCCCTCTCCTCCTCCTCCTCCTCCTCCTCCCTCCTCCCTCCTCCCTCCCTCCTCCCCCCTCTCTCTCTCTCTCTCTCTCCTCTCTCTCTCTCTCCTCCCTCCCTGTAGAGCCCCCTCCTCCCTCCTCCCTCTCTCTCTCTCTCTCTCTCCTCCTCCTCCTCCCTCCCTCCCTCCTCCTCTCTCTCTCAGATTGACAAACTACTATACTTAGTTTAAACAATATAAATCACTGACTTTAAAAAAAATACAATACAAGTAAGACGCTCTTTGATGTAGAGGATTGACACTAATTCCTTAGATAAATACTTAGTGACAAATTCCTTTTTACTATTTAAACACAAATTGATAGGTTAATAATTTAAGCATATGTCAAAAATAAGCATTAAAAATAATTCTTTTCATGAAATTAAATTTTGTTTAAACAATATAAATCACTAGCAGCGCAAAGACAGACTTTAAAAAAAATCAGAGGTGGAATCAGGCGAATTAAATCCTTTCATGGCACCACCAACCCCGTAACGAGACATCTCATCGAAATGACCGGTCTCCGCGTCTTGAACCTCCAAGAACATGTATTGCATGTTCTTGAATAATTTGTATTAATAAGTCTTTAAGGAAATCTCATGTAGGAAACCTGATTTATATTCTAATATATTCTATTGTGCAATTTTTTTTTAATTATTCGTACTTCTCAATCTATCATGTTCAAATTACATATATTTATTTTTTAGGGAACATTAAACCTTATTCGTCAGCCAGTCTGTCCATCTGTCACGAGAACTTTAAACTTGATAATAACTATTGAATGAGTTGAAATAGGACTTTGATATTTCACATGAGCATTATTTATGACATCTGATTTTCAAATATACTGTGATTTTTGACCCTGTGACCTTGATCTTGGAGCTTGACCTACTTAAAAAAAATAACATTACTTTAAATTGACCATAACTTTTGAAAGCTTCCATTTTATAAAAATGTATTAACTGTGACAACACCTTTTAAAATTCACTAATTTTTTACCCTTTGACCTTGAAGTTTGACCTGCTTTTCAAAAACATTAACAATACTCATACCTTTTGACTGAGAAGAGATAGAGCTTTTATTTTATCCCTGTGAATTACCTATGACAACTCTTTTCTAAATACACTGACTTTTGACAACTTGACCTTGAGGCTTGATCATAACTTTTTTAATGAGGAGAGATAGGGCTTTCATATTACACAAACATCACAATGTCATGTACGTAACCTGTAAGAAAAAATCATATAAAATACTAGTATATCATGAACTTTGACCTTGAAATTTATCCGGCTTTTCCAAAATTTAAACACTATTTAAAATTGACCATAACTTTTTACACATGTATATTAGCTGTGACAAGGCCTATCTAAAAAAAGGTATGGCTTAAATCATGGAGAGTGTGTTATGGCCTTGAATCAAGGTCATTTAGGATAAGATCTTTTGACTGGATGCATTGTTTGAAAAAAACATGTGTGAATTTGTCAATACAGTAGCACACAAATGGGGTATGCTCATCACCATCTTGTGTCATGGTGTGACCCAAGGTCATTTTGACAAGGTCAAGGTCGCAAAAATTCCTTTACTATCACTTTTTTAATAGTAAAACATAATAAGATGATATCTACCCTTAAAAGATTGCTTTATCATTGGAACGTGGCATGACATTGACTCAAGGTCATTTCTCTCTGTCCGTAGCTCCGACGGAAGACCTACTCATTGCTTTGCAACGAGCTCGGCTCTAGTTATTTTTATATCCATTAAAATCAGTTTAACTACCATTGAAATCAATATTTTAATCACTTTTTAAATCTAAATGTTAATCACTATTGAAATATTTATTTTAGAAGTAAACATCAGTTCAACAGTGGTTGCAACTATGTCAATTGGTATTAAAATGCACTCTCAACCACTATTGAAATAATTCTTTCAATAATGGTCCTATTTCAATAGTGAATGCATACTTTGTCTGTAATTGAAATGCACTCTCAACCACTATTGAAAGAATAATTTTAATAGTGGTGGTATTTCAATAGTGGCTGCATACTTTGTTAGTTAATAAAATGTACTCTCAACCACTATTGAAATAATTATATCAATAGTGGTCGTATTTCAATAGTGATAGAAACCTATGGTCATTATTGAAATACACTCTCACCTACTATTGAAATAATTATTCTGATAGTGGTTGTATTTCAATAGTGGTAATTACCTATGTTTGGTATTGAAATGCACTCTCAACCACTATTGATATAATTATTTCAAAAGTGGTCGTTATTTCAATAGTGTTTGCAACAAAACTGGATTACAAAAAATATATTAATGAAATATATGCAAAGGTTGTCCCAGAAAAGCGCAATCATTTGCAATTTTTTTTGATTTACTGATATTATAAAGTTAAAGATTGGTATGCATTAGAATCAACGTTTAAAAAATCCCAGAAATTTCGGTAAATGATCTCTATAAATGAGATTTTTCTCTTTGGTAAACAAACCATTCTAAATATAGTTGCCGGTGCATGTAACACTGACGACGTCAAAATGTAGCTTGCGAAACTTTTGACTTTCTTTTAAAAATCGTTCTACTTGTAATATCTATACGAATCATAAATAAGATTTTGTATTTGATTTCCTTTTTGTTACGGAGCTATCCATTTCATACGAACCAAAGTTATTAATATTTTTTTTTATTTGGCAATATCCCAACCCAGACATCCAGCTCTTTCGGTTTGGCATCATATTTGTTTGTCATCAAAACATTTCATTAATCGGATAATTAGTCCAATCATCTTTTAACTCCTTTGACCATTTATAAACCTACTATCGGTACATGTTTTTGTTCGCTATCTCGATATCCTTCATGTTTTGGTCAAAAATTGCCGTGCCCCTATAAGCTACAACTGATATTTTTTACTCTTTAAATGCAATTTATTGATGCATTTTGCTTTGCAACCTTATTTTATTAAGCCAAAATGCCAAAAATATATACCAACATTTTGTCAAACATGAATATTTTTGGTCGTTTAGTTAATGAAATATTCATAAAGATGGTGAATTTCTGGGACAAACCTCGTAGATAACGAACAACAAACAAGCTCAAAATTCATTCATATAAAACAAACCAGGAGTAGTTCAAAACTTTAGACAATTTATCAAAAATATATGACAATAATTTATGTTTTTTGAAAACTTACGATAATAATAGTTTTCACACAAAAATTTCAGAAAGTTGAGGGAGCAAAATCGGTCGAAATTTTTGGAGAACCCTTACCAATTCTTATATATTCTGAATCCAATTTTATTGTAAAAATAGAACATCAAAAAGAAAATTACACACTAAATCAAACTTTTAAGAGCATTGTACAATAAAATTTTATATCCCCCCGTATCATTGCCAAAAAAAAATTAAATGAAATACATTACAAAATACTAACGATGTAAGTTTCACTTAAGATTTTTTTGGGCCTACTATAACGTCCGACTTGTGATTGTGGGGTCAGATTTAAAGCTTTCCTGTTCCGAAGTCGATTGCATTATAATTTGTTGCCAAACATTTTTGTTTTGCTGACAAATCTTGAGAACAATCTGTTATTCTTAATTTCATTATTTTTTAGAGAATCATGAAGCATTTTGAGATCGTTACTAGGAACGAAAATTGCAGTAAAATCTTAAGATTTAAAAGATAAATAAAGATGCATACGTGAAAGCACTGAAGCTTTTTCGTAATGAAGTCTATGGAGATAACATACAAATCCATTAAACATTACAAAATAGGAACTGAGCAAACATGGATCTCAAATTAGTGGGATCAGGTGATTAAGCATTCCCTGTCGACACGTCACACCGTCGTGTGTTCCTTGTCATGTTCGGGGAAAATAGAAAAATCCGTCGGTAGCTCGGGGTGTCAGTTTATGTATATACTGATATACATATTAGCAGTCAGTATGAAAACTGTCATTAAGCATTTGACATACTGAGAAATTGTACTTACTAACAAGGAAGACCATAGAACTAACGAAATGATGACTCTAAACTAGACTGCTGATAATCTTGATTCATCATTTTTTTATCAATAACTGGCCTCATTTTAGAAATTGTTCAAACGTATAGAAAAAATAATATATACTGTTCCGTATCGAATCTAATGAAAGATGTTAACTCCGTAAGCAGGTAAAGAGAGAATCTTGCTGCATAAGTAAGAGAAGTTAACGATTGAACAGTTAAATCAGTTTTTTTCATAACTGAGTTGGAAGGTAACTATTAACGTTTTTTTTCTTAAAATATGAAACAGGTGTGTCGGAATTTAATATTTTGTATTCCAAGCTCACCAAGGTATACCTAGTCGTCATGAGAATGTACATACATAACTATTGTTAAATGAAAATGCGTCGTCGATTTATCTTTGGAAGGCCACTTAAAGGGTATTCTCTTTCTCCCGTTTAGGTTTTTGTATAAAATCTGCTTCATATGAATATAAAATAGGTGTGCTAATACAGGGCACAATCGATACTCATGGGATTTTCAATAGATTGTTTAAAGATCTCGTTTTCCGAAAAAATTGTATAGAAATTGTCATTCAGAAACCTGATCATCTTTTTAGTATCAACTTAAGAGTACTTGTGTGAATACTCATATTGTTTTTGAGGATTAAAAGAAACTTGGTAAAACATTTTTGAAACCCACATTGTATCTTTGTTTGCAGGAATTTTGATGAAGTTCCGAATCCAAATGGACATAGAAATTCATTTTGTTTGCAGGAATTTTGATGAAGTTCCGAATCTAAATAGACATAGAAATTCATTTTGGTTTTTGGGGATGTTAAGAAAACTCAAAGCTGGCATTTAATTTTGCAGAATTCCGTTAGAGATTTTAAAATTAAAATATAACGCTTAAAAGATATTTTGTGAAAAGAGCTGGACCTTTATAGCATATTGTTGTAAAATCATAAAAATATCTTAAAAAAACTAGCAGCAATTATCATGAAAGATATTACAAGGGGCGTTTGAAAAGTTCTGAGAACTGTTTGCTTGAATATTGCCTTTTACAAAAGTTGATAAATTTGGTTCTATTGAAAAGAGCAGGGGAATTTGTACGTAGTTCTATGTCACTTTTTTTTATGACGTAATGGCTCCAAAAATGACTTCAAAATCTTAAATGTTCAGCATACGGAAAAGTTGCGATTTTCGTTTACATAAGAAGATCGAAAAATGCTGTTAAAGGCTTCTTTGAAAAGTTGTTTTAAAGGAAAGTCCATTGCTGGACGAAAATAGTGCTTCGAATCCCATGATTTACTGATAATATTTGATAACTAGAGCCGAGCTCGTTGCAAAGCAACGAATAGGTCTTCCGTTGGAGCTACGGATAAGAAGACGTAACCTTGAGTCTAGGTCAAGCCACATTCTAAAGTTCTACAAGTGAAAATTTAAACATTTTAAGAGAAGCAACTTGCAATGCTTAACCAGGAAAAAGACTGTAAAGGAATATATGTGACCTTGAACTTTCCAAGTGACCTTGAACTCTCCAAATGACCTTGATCTAAGCAATGACTAGCTCTCGTTATA